ATGTTTACGTTTTAAATTTAATCCTTATTATGCACATCATTAAATTAAATTTCATTGTTAGATGCTACTCCATACAGCGTGAATATCGCTGAATTTATCTCACCTTGTATTGAGTGTACAATGAAACTGAAAATTAAGTTAACTCTTGCAATTGTTCTACATGTGTATGATAAACTTTGTTTCATGTTACTTCGTGCTACGGGCGCTGTTTCAGTTACCATACATTTGTATAATTAAACTCAGCTGCAGAAGTTACTTTAATATTTAATATCACCTACCAACATTTATATATTAATACTAATTGTGTCCGCGACTCCATTCGCATAATTTTTCTTATGAATTAATATTAATTTTAATAACATTTCATATTACATATTTTAAATTACTATATTATATTTTATTTATTATAAATATATAACTCTAAGGCCATAATTACAGTGGTTTACTATCAGTCTCATGGCTCTCAAAGGTAATGGAGATCGAATCTGAATATATGTGTTAAATGCGACTAACAATCCGGTGATCGAAAACAGAGAATATCTGAAGTCTTCCGACTCCTAGAATCTAAATATTCTCAAGGAAATATGGGCATCTGAAATAACTGTTATAAAAATCTGTACGTTAATAAATGTAGAGTTAAATAAAATAACTCTAAATCGGATACCTCTTATCTTTGTTTTATTTTGGAATGAGAAACATGTAATGTACACGTTTCCCATTACGAAAGACTATAAAAACTATGGCTGTTTTGGTTTTCCTTTGCGTGACTTTCACCATAAAACGACACGGTTAACCACTCATGTCTAACAATTGCCCGCATATGGAAAAGATTATGTGACTGCGACAGATAGAAAAAGAAATATTAAAAATATATATAATTATATGTATTTAAAGAAATCTTTATTATGTTCAATAGAATATATTTTTTTATCTTCTTTGCAATCTGATGAATATTCAAGCGAACTCTGAAAAAGGGCGAGCATAAATAGGTCTGCGTAGGTCGCAGGGCTACAGGTTCCAGCACCTGACAATAGCTCATACCCCCCAATAAAAAAAGTCTATTATACATTGTTGACAATTAAAAAAATACTTTACGGTAATAAAATATTTTTGTTTCAAGGGGTCATAATTTTTTATTTATAGGGGAAACAGTATAGTTATTGGCCAGTTAAGCGACCACTCGATAAAAAAATACAATTAAAAAAAAATGCATGGCTCTAAAATAAATACAACTCATGATATATGTTTCTTTATTAATGTATTTACTATACCAGGTGCCTTACATAAACTTTTATTAAATATTATAAGAATAATGTGAACTTAAAAATATAAAACTTGAGATCCCAGTAATTGGCCATAAAATTACAGTTACTAGCCATCAAATCATATAGTTATTGGCCACACTGAAAAATAAAATATAAATTGAAAACTTAACAAAAAAGTAGTATTCATCGTGGTTTTCATCTTCAGAACATTCAGAATCATCACCAGTGTCGTCATTTAACGATAAACAGTTGTGGCATATAAAGTCAGAAAGCTCATCGTCATCTGGCATATGTTCTAGGTGTTTTTGAGGAATGCAATGACGATGGTAATAGTTTTTACATAAACTACATACTACTGACTTATTTTTATTAGTCAGACGCTGGCACATATCACAAGTAACAACCACTATATTAGATGAAATTCTTATTTTACCATGGTTGTTAATTTCAGTATCTATATTTTCCTCTTTAGCATTTTCCGTTACAGTCTTCATGTCAATATTTTCATTTTTCTTATCAATATTTTTTTACTTCTTTCCTACACCTTTACCTTTTTTGGTCTTCAGAACATTTTCTTTTTTCTTTTTTTAAAATAATAGCAATGTTGAGCTTCGTTACCACCTCTCCAACATTTTCTGATTGAAATTTACGTACTGCATTTCGGTACATTTTTTTTATTGGTCCAAATACAGAAACATCTGCTGGCTGAGTTAATTATAGGCTTTGTTATTTATCAAAAGTAATAAAAAAAGATATAGTAATTGGCATACTTTTTCTATAGACTAGTTTTACGAACGATACAGTTATTGGCCTAGGCTATTAACTGTGAGTAATGGTTTAAAATTTGTAGAAATTGTGTAGGACACTACACAGTGTAACAGAAGACGTTATCTTTAATAAAAACACTAACTTAACTTTTTTCAATAAATACAGCTATTAGCATAGTAGGCCAATTACTACGTACTATTCAATTAATCGAGACACTAATTGGCTAACAAAATTTTGTGGTTATTGAAGAAAATAAGTTACAATACAACTTTAATCTGTTTATAACACATAAAAAGGCTATGTTTTATCAAGTTTACATAACGGACAGACTACATACACATTTCAAAATAACGCACAAAAAAATAAATGCATCTTAATATTTTTTTAATATACTCACCTGATTTTGTTCCTCCGGCAAAAAATCACACATCGGAAAAGAACCAAATAACCTAGCGGAATTTTGTTGAAACTTTTAGACAGAGAATAAAATTGTCACCATTAATCAGATTTCAAATCTACTATTTGTATAGAATGTTGCTAGTTTTTTGGCAGTAAAGTTGAAATGGCTAATAACTGTAAGGGGGCCAATAACTATACTGTTTCCCCTATATTATATGTAATTGGAATGGTAACCAAATCGCCTTCCCAAATAATGGTAAGTCGTCTATATATGTACTATCATCATTACATAGTATACAACAAAGTCATTGTCGCTGTCTGTCTGTCCCTATGTATGCTTAAATCTTTAAAACTGCGCAACGGATATTGAAGCGGTTTTTTTTAAAATAGATAGTGATTCAAGAAGATGGTTTATATGTATAATACGTGTACACCCGGGCGAAGCCAGGGTGAGTAGCTAGTTATATAAATAAAAACAAATATATAAATACCAACTATTTTGCGCGACTTTCTGTCCTCGTGATCTTTCTTCATGGTGCTTTTCATTTAGATTTATTGAGGAATTTGTCGTAAAAAACCTCTAACACATAGATATACTTACTCCATAATTATGTATGTACAAAAATATTGATACTCCATAATTCTGTACGAACAAATAATATCTGAGTTTCTCTACTCGTTTTTCGAGTCTAATAGTACAAGGTCTGTTTATTTTGAAACTAGATGGCGCTGTGTGTACTAAAAAATATAAGTTCAAGGCAAGGCTTTTATTTCATGACGCCACCAGACTCATCACATTATGGTTCCATTCAAGGAGTGGGAAAGCAAGGACCTTCTGATGTCACTCGACAGAAACTTCTTGCTCAACAATAGGAGTAATAGGCATGCATGTATCGTCGTCGCAAGTCATAAGATATAGCGTTTTCACATGTGTTATTTCAACGGGCGATAATTACTCATATAATTTATTGAAATTTAAAGTATAAATAATATATAGCTATATTACATCTTTACATAGTAATAAACAAAATCCCTAGGGCTGTCTGTACGTTTAGATCTTTTAAAATTTGCAACGGATTTTAATTTAGTTTTCAGCAATAAATAGTGATTCATGAGGAAGGTTTATATGTATAATACATGTACAACCGTGCAAAGCCGGGCGGACAGATAAATTGTAATAATTTAAACATAATAAATCTGCGTATAGTAGTTGTAACTTATATTTTAATATTACATATTCACGATGAAACGGCGGAACAGGACTAAATTGACATTAATATTGATAGTTTTATATAAAAAACAGTAAACGAAATCACGGGAAACAGCTAGTGACTTATATTTAATAAATCGTTAGGTGTCAGTATTGATTTTTTCCTCTTACCTAAAAAGAAGATTTCCGAAGTACTTAATATTCAATTTTGTTTCGAATAAATTAACTGCAGATCTAATTAAAGCCTGAAGGTCATAAAATATACGTTTAAACAATAAAATTAACATAACAAATCTTTTCAAACAAGAAGGTTGACATATAATAAAAGTTTTAATTTTTTTATAAACAATATCAAACTTAATCTTTGTATGTCACTCATATATAACTTAAATTTGCATTTATATATTTTCTGCTCCGCACTTAAATGACGGGACTACACAAAGAGAATGATGGGAAGGGCCTGATGTCAGTATCGTCGGATGCTTCACACTAAACAATAGGTGTAATAGGTATGGGTAAGCACTTGCCTTAAATGCATAAGAAAAGCGATTTCGTGTAAACCCGCCTGCCGCCGTTATAGCAACAAATATATTGAACTAGTTTTTGTCCGTGATGTCGAGTAAGGAGATGTATTAACTAACTAAAGTAGTAGCTAATGAACAAATACTACGAGCATGCCTAATTATATTTATTGGTTGTGCCGGTTATATAAACTATCGGAGTCAGCACATGAGACTCCTGGTATTTCTGTTACCGTTTACCATCAGATGGACCGTATGCTTGTACATGCAATCGTAGTACGAAAAAAAAGGATTTTTCTACAAGAAACTTTTCCCGGTATACACAGATAACTCAGAAAACTTTTATTAAAATTCGGTGTGTGGTTTTGGAAGGCATAGTGGACAAATACACAAACATTCATTTTTATTTATAAATTACACATAATTAGGTATAATTTTAATTTTCATATTTTCGTCATAATTATTTAAATGATTATTAATTTTTTTATCTCATAGACTGGAACTTGATAGTATGTTTGAGTTTCTTGATGACTTAAAGTGTAAAATGTTCTACTAATGTGTAATTATATCACCTCACTATATTAAACCTAAATGCTCATATATATAAAAAGTACACTCCACGTTATGTCAGTACTGACCTCTTATAACTTACACCACAATCAGAGTATGGTTGGTATGAGAGGTCCCCGACGAACTGTCGAGCTTTTCAAAGGACCCACAAGACGGAGACGCCCTTTGTTTGTTAGGAAACGGTTGTTATGTATGTAACTATATGATACCGTATCATGTACGAGTTTAAATGTAATTTTTATGGTACATTCTACATTTTGGACTCACCTGTCATCTTGCAAGTGTTTCAACTCGCTCAGCTCTAACTCCCTTCTCAGGTTAGAAACTTCACAGAGCAGCATGTCCCGCTCTGTTGACACCTTCTCCAGTTCGGCCCGCAGTCGGACCACCTCGTTGGTGAGATCCATTGTCGCCATTTCGACTATCGATCACTATAACAATCGACACAGCACATCACTAATCACGAGGCGCTGCACGCCGTCCAATCGCGTTCGCGCATTTAAATTTCGAACAGCACAAAACGTCACGCACTCGCCGTTAGTCGATAATATGGAATTTAAATTGAGAACTTCACAGATATTTTTTGTTTATTTCCGCATTTCACTGTTTCGCACTGGCCGCTCAGCCTACATCGGCATCTGAAACAATAAATCATTCTGTGAGAGAATGTAACGTAAAAGAAAATCGCGTAGTCGGTATGAGAATCCGAAATATTCTGTTCATAAACTCTCACAATAGGGCATATGAAGTAGCAAGCATGAGAGCTATGATAACATAGGCATAAATAACTGGGATAGCCGTCTTTATTGGTTGTTTTTGTGCAAACAGGCCAGTATTTCTGGCTCATTCCTATTGTGCCGGGAGAAAAGTAAAAGCATATTGTAAATATGGGCAGAGCGAATCGTTGTTGACTAAGCACTGTATTCTAATCTCAATTCCTTCCTTTAGAATGATTACTTACGTATTTATAACAATTTGTCTTTTCAATATTCTATAAACACGATAGGATTAACCAAATATAATTTGTTTATCCAGTTTCGATACCTCTCGTAAATAATAAGTACAATAAATACAAACGGAAAATATTTGATCATATGTTCACTTATATTAAATAAACTAAAAAAATACATAACTTCTTAAAACTAATAATAATATAATAATTGCAGTCCTGTGAAGGCACAGGGGATCACTAGTATACAATATAGTCTCGATTAAACGATTTAAAAACATTGAGAATAATAAAAATATATAAATCAACCAAACAAATACAAATAATATGCATATTATATTGCATGTGGAATAAAATGCAGCACTTCCTTAAATATGAGAAATTTTAGAAAATCCACTCTAAGGTTATAACTTTAAAGTCTAGGTCCAAAAATTTGTTTTGAGTTAACACAGTATTGTACTAAGCACATGATAAACAACATTTTAATGGGAAACCTGACAATACTCGACGGGGAAAGAAGAGAGAAAGAACTAGCAATGCACTTATTGCTAGTACTGTACCACGCCAGGTTAATCTCCATTGTGGGTAATTATTTATGAACACGCCACTTTTGCTAACTGATCTGACTTCATGCTCATCCTATTATCTTTCACTGGTGCCCCGCCAGCGTATACCGTTAGCGAAGACGGTTGCACCATTCCACTATCATCCATTTAAAGAATATAAAATATATCTATGATATTTTAAGAAACATTAAGTATAATAATAATCTCAGGACAATTTACACAGCGCCCTCTAGACCCAAATTAAGCTAGCTAAAGCGTGTTATGTTTACTAGAAAGCAGATACAGATACATAGATTTTTTTTTCAGATATTATACATAGAAAACACCCAGACCGATACAAAACAATCATACTCATGATTTGTATTCACGTTTGTGCCGTGCGAGAAATCGAACCCGCGATCATCGAAAGCGGTGTGCTAAACCGCGAGACCACCGAGGCCATCAATAAAAAAATAGATAAATAAATGTAAATGCCAACCGGTGACAATATTAATAATATTATGAACAACACATTAACATTTTGATTATGAACCTGCTCCTACTCGACGACTAATGTTAATCATTTCACAGACGCTTCCGTGTCGGACATTATTATCTATTAAAGTAATCAGCAAGTGTTAAAACAATAATAATTTACCATTAATGCATTTTACGAAGATTGTTTTTATAATTTAATCCCTTAGCGATTATTATTTCACCGTAATTAAACTTTAGCTATATATAAATAACGTGGATATATAATACACAGCGCCATTTCATCACATAGTAAGCATGGCTTATTACTCTATAATAGATGCTAGGTCATAAGACTGCCTATTGTAATCTACATCACAAAAGACAGTCTTCTAATGCATTAAAGAGTTAATAAATAAATATACAAGCTCTACTTGTTTTGCTTACTTCTGAATTATGGATTACTATTTTGTATTTAATACTAGACAACTCATGCTCATATATATAAAATACACACTAAATATATATATATATATATATATATATAATTACACCTAATCTTTGGATTAGGTGTAATTCTATGTATATTTTGACTAACATGTCAAAACAAGCAGTCATATATAGTATATGAATATGTTTGCATTCTGTGGGGACTGAACCCGCGATCATCATAAGACAATGTGCTAATCTGTTAGACTACAGAGGTTGTCAAATTCAATAATATAAAACAACAAGTATACAAATCTAATTAATATACCTAAAGAAGTATGTAAATAAAAAATGTCATGACTTATATGACAAATGTCACAAACACCTAGACCGATACAAACAATCATACTCATAAAGAAAATGTTTGTGCCGTGCGAGGAATCGAACCTGCAACCATTAAAGTAAGGCGGTTTGCTAAACCTCCGAGAGCATCATTGCCGGAGTTTTGGGATTGCGTTGATAATCTAGGACTACGGCGCAGCGGCAATATTCCGCCCTATAGTTGTAATAGGGCAGGCTTTCTCTCTTCCTGGTTAGGAAAATAGAAATTAAGTCTACGTGTATACATTGACTTAAAAAATATTTCTTCAGAATCTCTTCCTAAGCAAATTCTTTATATAACGCTTATTCGATAACTGAAGTCCGCGCTACTTTAAGCGGCCTAAATTCTTCAAAGAGGATAATTACTGCGCCGTTAATTTATATAAGCACCTTTTGTTTACGTAAAAGCTTGCTTGTCCCAACAAACCTTTCCAAAGGGTGACTAGTAAAAAGGTTAGGTTATGTTTACGAGACGAACCTAAGTAATTTAAATGTAAATGTTTGTTTATTTGTTACCTGCCTATTAGCATTGTAAGTTGGTCACAGAATATGGAGATTTCTTTGTGATTTTTTTAAATCAATGATAACAGAAACACCTATATCGACTTTGTAGAAAGTTAGAATCCGTTTCACCAACTTCGACATGTAGAAAATAGTTTCGCCGGCTGTTTCAGTTTCAATGATGTGCCTGAGAAATGCCAACGAATGTATCTCGGACGTCACATGAAATATAGATAAGGTAGTTAGCCCATCGTGATTAATTCACCAGGAATTGACCACGACGGTTTCCAGAGGGGACTGAACAAGACCTAAAAGAAGCGAGAAAATTATTACTATTGACACATGACTAAGTACGAGAATTGAGTCATGTCTTAATCTTGATATTAATAATGTTCTGTTCGATGCACATTAAAATTTAGCACTATTGTATTGCAAAAGTAGGTAGTTAGCAAGATACTCAAGAAAAATGAATGTAACGAGATTTTTTGTAAATATTGTAATCATATTTGGTATTCTTGATACTATTTTGGCACAGCTACCGTTTATTTAATTTTCCAATGATCATTATCATTATTTTTCCAAAATTCATATTTTTTCATCCCACTATCAGTAAGATTGTGTAATGACACTTGTTAATAAACCTAAAATCCATCATCATCAACCATCCTTCGATAATGATAATTCTATTGCGGATTCCCAAATATAACTGAAATAACAAATAGGTAGACAACAAATTATCATTCAGCATACTCGTATATCCGTGTAAAGCCACTCGTATGAAATATATCCCCATAATCGTGCATAATATGTAATTCTAACCAACATATAAATAACAAAGCTAAGCGGAAGGCCCATGATGTACGATGTAGGTCCCGAACAAGTGATAGGCAGAAAACCTATCTGGGTATCACGCGGTTCTCTCTGGAAACCATCGCGATAAATTTATCATGATGAGCTAACTGACCTGACCACATGCACATCTAATCATCCTCCACTGGTGCCCCGCCAGCGTAAACCGTTAGCGCACATATTATTGCCATAAAGCAGGTTGATTTTTATACTGAAGCCCGAAATAAAAGACAAGAATAGCAATAAAGGTTCTTCTATTTCTAATCTGTAATGGATTTAGTACGTGTGATAAACAACTTAACAGAATTTCGGTTGAATGTAATGTAAACATTGATAACAATGCGAAATAAAGCGATAGCATTACTGCAACTGAACAATAACTAACTAATGTGCAAGCATTGTGATGGACTAAAATATCATACCTCTATACCTTATAATTTCACTGCCTCGCCCTTAAAATCTTACAAAACAAGTTTCATGGCATCTAAAATAGGTAAGACAGAGATACCCCGCTCAGACAATACTTTTTTTCGAACTATTCTAATGCTGTTGACCACCTCTGGCCTTTACAGCTTCACCGAACAATAGGGAACGAATACAGATGGCACATCCAAATCCGCGGAAGGATTTATGGAGCGGCAGAAGGCCTCCTGCCTGATGGATACGACTTTAGTCTGAGGGCATCGCTAAGTGTTCGAACTTTGGCTCAGGTATTTGTAATTACGATCCTCGTTTAAATTGGACTGAGGACCGAAAGGAGAGTATTATTACTGTAAAACTAGCTCCCTTATAAGTTTCTTATATAGCCATATTAACTATTTAACTTATATGTCATTGACTTACGAGTTATCTTTTTTATTTTAAAGTGACAAAACACTAACAGTTTATAACTTGGGCCATGCCGACCATCGCCTTGGTAGCTCTTCACGGCTGAATCCAGACGGTGAGAAATTACTTCATTAACCAATTACCACGGCGGCGGTTGACGATAATTATGCGGAGATCTGTTGCATTGTAATACTTATACTTTGCACTGATTCACGTTCTCGTTATTAATCTATACCAAATGTGTTGTAAGTATATCTTAACTGTAACAAACCGTCTTCGCCCCTTAAATAATTCCAAAGTCCATGAAATTTTTCAAAAGACCCTAACGGTCTATTCTAAGTAATAGTATCAATAGAACAGATAAGGGTGTACATAGGCGAAAGCTACCAATTACCATAAATCTGCAGTCAGCTTTAAAAAAAAATAAGATGGATTAGTTTGTAGTATATTGTATGGGGAAATTGTGATATATTGCCTAGATGAGCTGGTAGCAATATCCTTTATATAGCCAATATTAGCCTCATCAAGTCACAGCTATGGGCGAGTAAAAGAAAGAAAAAAGAAAAGAAACTTATTGTCAAGTAATAACAGGAAATTATAAAAAATCAACTAACAATTAAACTATACGAAATTAAACATATATGTTATTAATTGACAATATGGTCCCATACTCAGCATATGC